AAATATTACCAAGTTTATTACTATTATATTTTATGCTTTTATATATCGCAAAAATTAGAAATTATAATTAATAACAGAAATATTAAATTTTTGATTCTCCAAAATCAGCCACCCTTTGTTTTCTGCCGCATATATTCTTGGTGTTTTCGATAACAATTTATTTTAAGTTGTTACTGATATTTGATTACAGCATCTTTGCAAATATTCTCATAGTTGTTTCTGATTAATAAATCGCATTTTTCGGCTACTTCTATTAAATTCATCCCACAGTTATGCCGGATTAAAATCCGGTAGGCTACTAGGGAGGCTAACTTGAAAAATTTCATGTAAAATTAAAACAATAAAATAATAAAATATAAAAAATATCAAATATTAAATATGAAATATTAAAATAATAAAATATAAGTTAATAATATTTACATATGTTTTGCCCATTAAAGTAACGACTTTCCCGTTTCTATAATTGAGATGCGACACTTTTGACCGGTACTGTATATAATATTTACGCGCGCGCGACATACACAAATATTATATATATATTATATATATTATATATACATAAATGTCTGTCGTACAAGCCGTAATTAGGATTTACTGTAGCTAGTACATGTTAGCTTATTAACCAAACACATTCGTGTAAATGGCAGACGACGGGGAATGATGCGCGTTTACGCGGTCGAGGTAAGAGGAAGAAAGAAAGGGTGGAGCGAGAGAGAAGAGATACAGCGAGGGAAATCAAGAATAATGTCGTATGCCGTCTCGAAATCTGTCCACGAATTTTCCATTGACGCTGGGCGCTGTCGCGCATAAGCGAAGAATGTGTCCGCGAGACCCTCCGGCTCTTCGGTTAACTAACTAATTAATTAATTAATTAAGAGAACTTGGAGCAACGCGTGAAAACAATATCTCGCGAATCTTTGATACGCGCGCGTAACGGAATTTACACTCGTGTCTCGATTTAAAGCCGAGCAAGTCCGTAATGACGATAAAATTAAAAGTGAGGAAATAGAAAGGAGTCGAGAATTATTTCGGAGGAAACTTGTTAACGCTAGATCTTACGAAGAAATTAATTTTGTTATTATTGTTATCATTTTTCGATATAAAAAAATTATAAGACGCTGTTGCAATATTTTTATTATCTGAAATATTCCATAAAATAAAATAATTCTCACAAGTTTTACATTAAGATTACAATTATAAGCTAAATAATGAATAAGAAAATACGAAATTCTGTTTTTATGAATCTCTCTCATTTCAACCTTTTTGCGCGTACGTTGAAAATGAAACGGGCATCGATGTCAGTTGCGGGATATAGTCTTACGCATCCATTGAATAAAATCGATCGTGATATTGCCTGCAATTGCGATGCGCATAAATCGCGCGTCGAAGCCGCGTTCTCGAAAAAAAAAAAAAAAAAGTGCGTTCGATATATATATTACATGTATTATATAAACGGCCGTTGGTACAAAAGCGTGAATCTCCCACCTGAATCCGATCCCCATCGATCGCGAGCGCCGATCCGTGATCGACGATCGATCGACCAAGTTAAACAGACGACGATTATGAGACGACGAATTAATTGTAGTGTTTTACGAGCCATTTAGCGCGGCGCCCCACGTCATTGGCACGCTTTAAATAACGGGGAATATAAAAAAAAAGTATTGTGTGTAAAAAAATAAGCACACCACTATTACCGGTACATATATATATATATATTATATACATTGTAACCAATTGTTGTCTACGATATAATGTTATTTTTCTAATTCATATTCGATTGTTATTGTTGAGAGCGAGCGTTGTAAGAGAATGAATGGGGATGAATGACAGAAAGAACAAGAAACGAGGGGAGAATGCGAGATGCAGGCGAGAACGAATATAGGGAGAGAGGGAGATTCTGGAATAGAAGAGAAGGAGAAGAAGATAATGGAAGACTGCGGGACGAAGTGAGAGCGAAAGATGCGTGGAAGATGAAAAAAAGCACATCGAATACTTAAGCGCGAATAATGTGTATTCGACCAGGATAGAATCTCTTGTGCTTTCCACATTTCCATTTGCTTCCCTTTCCAACACGTTATCATACGTCAAGACATACAACGAGTCTATTTCTATGTCTTTCCCAAGCGTTGGCAGCTCGATTCTTATGCGGATAAAATCGTATTTACGATGTACAATTATAAATTAATATTTATTAATATTCAACGATCGATCAGAGCCGAGTAGTGTCAAATGTGCCAAAGAAAACCACTTTTCTGCAAAATTCTGTGTGTAATTGAATTTTCTATCTTTTGATTCGCGATCAATATTATAGATTCGCGATTAATATATTAGATTATATAATTCTTAACATTATTCATATACATTTCATCAAGCTATGGTATATTAAATATGCAACATGTTCATTCGCTGGATGTCGGAATTAAATTAAAATTCTAGAAAAAAAAAAATAAAAAAATAAAAATCTGTTCTCGAGACTGATAATTTTTCGAAAATAGCCTCTCGAAAGGGCTGCAAAATACATGTATCGCGATTATTAAAATCTTCAACTTGGCACTTTGAATCTTTGCGACTTGAACTTTAGCGATAGTATATTTATAACGGAGGATGTTTTTTCGTGCGAGGCCGTCGAATCGAATTTCCGTCGTCCCAGTTTCACGTTCGCCCCGCGCGCGGTTTGCACCGGTGTATCGACATCCTCCTTTTTAGGTTCTCTCTCCTTTAACATCCCGCGAAAATCGCGCGGCGGGACGAGAGGGCAAGTAGTAGCGATGCGCGTCTAGCGCGACGGGGCCGCGACACGACGGTGCGCTGGGTCGTCTGTGATATACATACAAAAGTCGCGAGCGCACAAGTATTGTATTTTTTGTAAGGCTCATGTACGCCATACGCAGATTGTGATAAGCGAGTTCGCGGCGTCGTCCCCGAAGATAAGGGCGACGGACATCGGCGCGAAACGATCGATTTGGCGAGCCTCCCCTTTGTTTCCCTTCTCTAGATCCTTACTTTTTCCCATCTTCTAGAGTGTGAATGAGAGGCTTACGTTATCGTTTTTAAACTACACCAGGAGAAGACGCGTTCTTCTAACTTCGATGCGCTCTATCCCGGAGAACTTTCAACCTTCTGACCATTGCATCTTCTTGTCTCGAAAGTTATCTTTGTTTGAAAATGCCAGGAGAACTTGAAGTATCTTAGGTCGCTTTGGGATATGTTGTCTCTTTTTTTTTCTTTTTAATAAATATTGCAAAATATAATTTTGTATAATGCACTAAAGAGTAGGTTGATAGATCTACACGAGATGCGGATACTTTTTATGTGGGAAAATATAGAGTTGTGATTTTATTTTCATCTCTTATGCAAACGAAATGATAATACTGTGTTCGGACAGTACGAAAGAGACGAATGCTGCCTTGTATTCATTTATACGTTACAACAGTCAGGAATATACTTGTCAATAGAATATTGCTCGCACTATTGTCTCGATTAATTATTGTTATCTAATTGAAGCGAATCATCGCCGAGTCTCGAAAAATACGCGCGTGAGGCATATTAATTAACATTGATATTAACGAATTAATTCGAGCTTTTATTCATTTTCTTTTCATGAATTGTGTTAATGATAAATCATATAAAATAATTTTATAAAAATTTGTGAATTATATATATTCATATATTATACAACATAAAACGCTTTTTTCTAAAACACTTATTCGACTGCTGATTCAATAACTGTTAAAAAAATGAGAGAAATACAGGAACTAACATTAAATTATGTATAAAACTATTTGTAAAGATTTTACAAGAATCTTAAAAAAATATCGCGAGTCTCCACATGAGTTTCGTGTTCGCCAATCATTAATCGTGCAATCTAAGCATCGACCTGCCTTATATAAACTGCAAGTTTTATTCCGGCTGTATATAAAGGGGAATTTTCTACGACATTAAATGCGCGCAATCATGCCGGATATTCGTAAAAAAAGAATTTTTTTTCTAATAAATAACGCGCTTGAAACGAAATCGTGTCAGATTGGCACGCCCTCGATTCTAAAAATTTTACGAATTCGAAAACTGCAAAATGTTCGACGCAAGCCGGACGATCGCAATAACTATCACCGTTGATACAAACGATCGTTACAAATTCGCAACTTCCGCCGGATATGTATAAAAGCTCGATTTATATTCGATATTTCGTAAAAAAAAAAAAAAAAGAAAAAAGAAAAAAAGAAAAAGAAAAAAAAATGTCCGCGCGTAAATTTCAACTCGGCGAATTATAATTAATTCTACAAATCTCAACGGGACTACGTTAGTTATGTAATTACGCGCATCGCGTTTTTGTGATACTTTCTGATAATCTGCGAAGGGGTGCGAGCGTCTGTGTGAATGCAGTACATTGTTGTTGAAAATCTGGCGTTTCTACTACGATGCCGAAGGATTCATAAATCGTGTAATAAAGTGTTGTGAGGTACTGTAAGGTAATTATGATAACGATGATGATGATAATGATGATGATAATGATGGAACGTCTGGCGCGGTGATAATCGTTATTGCTATCTTGTAACGTTTAATGTATATCAGTGTCGTGAAAAAAAAATAAGAAAAAAAAATGAGCGGCTGAAGCTCCTCGGTGTTGTGGGTATGCATACTCGTTCCTAGCAACTCGTATGAACAATTACTCTATTCGATACTACTCATAACAATTGCATTGATCTACTTTACTCTACGTACACTTTAAAGATAAATAAATACATTCTGTCCAATCTCACATTTACGCCTCGATATTTTTGTTCCTTCCTCATCAACATATTTAATGACTCTTATCAGTACAGATGGGATTTATCAGGAGATAGGTAAACAGGTAATTTCTCACTTGAGAATTATCGATCATTCGTGGGTAATTATAATAATTGGTATATTAATTATAATGCCTATAAACATAGATCTGTTCATAAACCACTTTAATAGTTTTTTTTGTTTCAGATCGAAAAAGCAGAAAAATATACATATAAAAGAACAACTATACTATTTTATTATTCTGTCAACGATGATACATGGTTCATTCCTCAATTTTTTCATAATTTGTTTTTTTTTTATAATATTTAATGTTCAGATATATATTTTCAGTTTTATACTTAATTTTTTCAGCGCAAAATACTTAATGTGTCATGATCCAGTATATATCTTCATCTATAATTTGCGCACAGAAAAATATATGTCTATTCATATATATCTCTATTCATTTATTAGGAGTAGAAAATCGATGCGCGCAAATTGAGGAACTTATTCTAGCAATCATATCATCTGTTCTGTTATATGATATACGTAAGGATTACATTTTTTTTCTTACTGCTAGCAAAAACTGTTTACAATCTAGGAGATTATTATATTCTTTAGACACATATTTTTGTAGAGATACACTTTAAATGTGTGTATTATTAATATTTATATATATTTACGCGTGGCCCGTAATTTATTATTTATTGTTCTAAACCGACAAATTGAGAGAGCGTATACAACATATTTTATAATGTACGTAAATGTGGTTCAGTATGTAACGCTCTTTTGGCCGCTAGTTGAAAATGGGATGGATGCAATCGATATCGGTGACTAAGCGTGAAACATGACTAGCTTGATACGGCGATTTTCATGGATCCGCACGACGCGTTACAATTATTATGACGATTAATTGCTGTACATGACATTTTGCTTTGCGCCCTGCAATTTGTTTTGCACAACAATAGTCTCGGATTGCGATATCAGAGTATCTGGCAGTAATCGCGTGTCCGGCTAAATATATAATACGTGTACGTCCACTTATATCTGGGCCACGCAACGAAATTGTAAAGGATAAAAGACTTTCAATTCTTAACAGTTATCATTGACTTTTATTCCGATGATAATAATTTCTCGTTTCGATGTTTTAATAAATGGATATTTTCTAAATACCGATAGAAAAATATGTTTTCATTGTTTTTTTTCACTCCACCGGGATATCGGAATGCTATGAAAGATTGCTACAAAACGCAATGTTTTTTTATCGTGACGAATACAAATTTTGCATGATTAACACTTGCGCTAAATAGAAACATCGAATGTAGTTCTTTATTATTATATATTTTTTTATAAGCAATAACTACTCTTTATTCTAACATTTGCATTGCTAATTATTTCATCTATATAAGATGAATTAAAAGTATTCCTGCAGGCTTCATTTTATTTAAAAGAAGCTATATTGAGACTGTAGGAATAACACTTCACATTTTCCACATGATATTATTTTCGATTTGATAAATGAAAATTTAATATAGAATTACTAGAGATTCCACCTCCTTGTCAATTACAATACACTACTTAGAATAGCATTTTCATATATAAAATGACTTTAGATAAATGCAATAGAGACTCAAAAAAATTTCAAAAAAAATGCAACAACAAATTATTAAACTACTAATAAAGCTAAAATGCCATAAATTGTGTCATGTTGTTGGAATTATATATTGCACGATATGAATGATAAATCCTTGGCATAAATATTATTTTATAAAGAAATTTCTTAAGCATTTATATAAAAACAATTGCATACCTGGTTTTTTATCATTCTATCTATAATCGGACTTTTAGCTCTTCCATTCTTTGCTTTATTCTTCTCCGCATCTCTTTGTATCTGAAATATTGAATTTATATAATACAGCAAGTTTTATATAGTCATAAATGGTTGTCTATAATATGTACCCACTTCTCTTTCAGAAGGAGAATCTGACGTTCCTCTTCGTAATGATAACGTTGCAGTATACCGTGGCATTCTGCTAAAGATAAATTAAGAAATTGTGCAACATCGGAACTGATTTCAGGTGTGGATAACTTGTCAACCAGGAAGAGTCGTGCAACGTTCTCGTGTGGACCGAGGACTACCCTGACTTCTAAAGGATATTCGTCATCTTTCAATCTTCTTTGTTCTAAGAATAACAATACAAATCACGCATAGCGAAAGAAAATATATAATCGCGTGTATAAATCCATTTCAATTCTCCCACAAAATCACGCAGTTTTTCTTACCGCCATTGTCGCGCACTACGAATAACGCAAAGTTATCGGATTTGGCGTCGACTTTGTACTTGTCCAGCATAAGATTGATGACTTCTTGGGTGTTCACTAGACTCGTCACCCAGACGGACATTTGCGAACCGTGAGGTGGTGTGAAGAAGCTGGTTTCCCGATTATAAAAATGGCCGTTGATCGAGCAACGACGTCGTAATCGATTACGCGATTGACGTCTACCGCCCGGACGTCGTCTAATTGCGGTAGAACCTTGCTTACGGCGCAAAACGACACCGTCCAGCTGTAATCATAATGATAAATTAATGTATATATACTTAAAAAAAAAGAGAGGAAGACCTATACAATGAATTATTTAGCGATGCGGTACCTCTAATCCGCTATCCGTAGACATAGTCATATTATCGTCCTCTCGAAACTGCAAGGAATTCACCGAATCCGTGTCGCTATCAGTTCTGTGTCTCTGAAGACAATCAGGGCCGGATAATGATCGATTCAAACCTTTTTCGATCCAGCTGTCATCGGTACTGATCGACTTATTACCAGAATTCTTCTCCAAGTTGTCGAAGTATTCTACTCTTCGAAGCGTACCGTTTCGATTAGAGGTTCCTAAATTACAGACAGGTGTGTCTGTACTAGATGAACTACCTATGCTGTGCGTTGGTGTGCTATTTATGCTGCTATCCTCTCGGCTAGCAGTTTGATGATTAGGACTGCTTGTGTCCGAGTTTTCGCGAGAGTCCGATCGATCAAGACTCGACTGAGACGAAAGTGGTGGCGTATCCACGCTGGACTGCGAACTTATCGACGGGAGATTCTCAGGCATCGTCTGATACAATTTATTACCATCCTCGACCTTTCGTTCAACCTACAATTACGACATTTACACTTGTGTTTTGTAAAACAAACAATAAGCATTAAAAGACAAACCTGTAGAAGCTCATCTAACTCATCCCATTCCATATTCTTGACATCAAGCTTCATGGGCAAAGTGAGACTCTTTAAATGATCAGGAGATGTTGGAATAGATTTTGTATTATTTTCTGTATTACTATCTGATGTATCTTTAGATAGCTCATCTACTTTATCTTCATCTTCAATATCCTATTTAAAACAATTAAAAATAATAAACAGATCATATCAGTGTTATGTGTATCAAACTCTGAGAGGAATAATACAATAATACAAAACAAATGACAAACCTCAGAAACGCTATGCCTGCATGAATTTCTATTTCGTGCAGTAACTACTGTGCGTTGATCATCATCTTCTTTCAGATGAATCACACCACGAACTCCCCAATAAATTCTTAATGCACCTTCTAGTATCAATCTTCCATTGACCTATTTTTAATTATTATTTATTTAAACATTTAGAGTTTTATATTAATAAGAATATAATACAATTGATTTAGGATATCTTTTTACCTCACGGCTTCGAATTCCACCACTTTTACCTTCATAATACTGATTAAAAACTTTCAGCTTGGATTCTAAGTGTGATCTAAAACAAATACATATCTTTAAAAAATTACTTAAATTAGTAAATATTTATCCTTTTCAAAGAAAAATATGTATTACATATGTTTGCATAAGATTTTATTTTAAATGTAAATTTTTAAATTTCTACCTAGATTTATAGTAATCTAGTAATAAATCATATAAAATTATACAAATTAAATTAGTTAATTAAAATTTTCAATGCGAATAATCAAATTTTTTTCCATTATATTATTTATATAAATCTCTAAGTATATTCACCTTGGTAATGATGGTCGACTTTCTTTTTTCCCAAAACTTGTATGTGATTCTACTCTTGTGCCATGACCAAACAATTGAGGTCCAAAAAGTGCACCATAACAAGGAACATGGCAATAAGGTACACCTTTATGCTATATAATATAATAATATAAATTATTATATGTCATATAATCTATATATATGTTACTGTATTTTTTAATCTATAATTTATAAAACAAGTAAATTTGTTTGCTTTACTTCTGCATGTTGCCCAGGATTCAACCGCTTTCCACATTCCTCGCATCGTAAACATTCTGGATGCCAATCATATCCCAAAGACTGTTTACGTTCAGCTAAAGATTAACACATATCTGAACCATATCTAAACTTAAATTATTTCTCAAAGATAAATGAGATGAATTAAGTATATTTCTTGTTTTTTTAAGTCTAATTCTTGTAAAATGTATGTTTATTCAAAAATGACAATTCCAGATATTATAAATAATTAAAATAATACAATACAGCTGTATGGCCGTTTAAATTTTTATAAATTCAATTTTGTTCTTTGTTTTTAAGCCGTTTTTATAAGGGAACTTATATATATGTGCAGGCAGGAAATATATATGTACAGAAAGGAACTTATATATATGTACTTATATATATTTACAGACTTTTTTAAAGATACAAACAATGTCTCGTAGCGAAATAAATCGACGGCTCCGTCAAACTACTAATAGCGTGATACTTGTCAAAATGAACATCGCCGTCAACGAATGTAAATTGCAAAAACTCACCAAAATAAACGGGTTTTCCGCATTTGTGACACTTCCACATGATGATGGATACACGATACGCAGTGGAGAATAACAATGGGTGTATTCTTGTCAAAGCCTCGAACGGCTTCAAACCATTTTGTTTATATTAACGGAGCTCTCGTCGAAAATGACATGCGGGTTAATTACAGATGTTACTAGTATGGTAACTCGATGGTAATTTTATTGTAGAGAAGACTGGGAGCTGGGAGTGCCATGTCATTTACAATTATCTGCATACAATACGCCATCTATATTTACTCTTGCTTTTTAAAACTTTCTAATGATTTCGTAAATTCACACTTGATGGTAAAACATATTTATTGAAAAAATAATCAATAGACAAGTTTTTCGAAGAATCACAAGCGAAATTAAATAACTTTTCTTTTTCAGGAGAAACAATTAATATACATATATTTCCAAATATATATCTAAAAAATTTTTATATAATTAAAAGATTTTTATTTTTTAACACACATTACAAACTATTGTGAAAGAAATGATAAATTTTAACATTTTCGAAAAAATATTTAAAAAAAAGTTTGAAGATGATTAACATAGATTCCCAAATGTTAATCTTTACACACACATTCCTTTTTTAAATACCAAGAAAAAGATATCAAGATCAAAAATTGCTAACTTTTATATCTTATTATTATATAACAATATTAAGGTATTCTCTTCTATACAAAATAAATGATATTAGATAATTAAAAACATTACAATACAATAATATATATATTTCCTCATGTGCTTGTATATTGTCTTTCCAGCTTGTCCAAACGTTGCTTTTCAATTTTAGCATTAAACTCGCGAATCAAATTGTTCATTTCCTCAACTGCTTCTTCATTTTCGGGTGGATAGTATTCTTGTCTAGTCTTCATCACATATTTCTCATAAAAAACTGGATGATTGACAAAGTGAAATATTCCCACAGGGAATGATATATATAAAGCCATCCTAAATATCTCTAACATCCAACCCATTTTTCAAGTATCTATGAAACAAGATATATTATGATTAGCTTTGACATTTATTTAATCTGTATTTTGCAGTTTAAAATGGATTAAATTATTTGATTATTGTTAACATAATAATTATTAATATAATCAAATTTAGCCAATAATTATATGTATATCCTCCTCAACTCAATTATAACATTTTTTAAATTTAAACTTTCCTTAATTATAAAGTAGAATGGCAAGAGATTTTACATTAAATCAATTTGCTGATAGTTTTGTCAATTTCTTTTTTTTTCTTTACATATTGATTTTAAAATTGTAGAAAGTTATATAAAAATTGATTGGAAGTAGAAATTCTATTTATATTTATTTACAATCAATAGAAAAAAATATTGATGGAATTTTACTTGCAATAATAAATTAAAAACATGACAACAAAATATGAGGAAGTACAATCATAATCTATATAAATAGCATTACAAAAATTACGACAATGTACCTTAAAACAGACGTTAAGAAAAAAAAATTGCACATTAAGAGAAACACTTGACAGAAATGATTTAGGTTAATTTCTGATATATTCTCCGGTTTTTGTATATATATGGAAATTTCATTATTAGAAATTACATAAGTAAGGAAACCACATAACATTTATTGTACGACAAGCTTGTCAGATGTGTCGTTAAATAGGGAATTTGCAAAAGTTCTTTGTGATAACAGATAGCGCTTTTGAATGGTCGGGTTTGAGGTAATTTACTAGACGTCGTTCTTAAGAAGAATGGCTGTGATTGGTCAAATTACCTCAAACTCGACCATTCAAAAACGCCAAGAGAGAACCACTCTGTTTCAAGGTATGGATTTCCATCTATAATTTTAGTCTTTCGTGGTAATTCGCGGATGCCAATTGTAAAATGGCGATGTGTTGGTAGAAGAAAATTCGAATATAACCGCGAAATATAAGTTTAAAAAACAGGTTTTTTTTCTCGAATTTTAATCATCGTCAATCTTTTTTACATTTGCATTCAATCCCATACTTGTGCGATAGAACTTGATAAATCTTCAATGTGAACACGATGAGAAAAAAACAAGGGATGTGAAATTTACAAAAATATATATATATAATTAATAAGCAAGAGTTAATTGTGAGATAACACCACGATACAACAATAATTCCAGCAACGCACAGATTTAGATTAAAGCGAAAGAAGTATCTCTTGTCAAAATCGTTCGAAATAATTTCGAGAAAACCGAAACTACACCGTTGGTAGCAATGCATTACAAATGTTTGCTGTTTGCCATTTATTGCCCACTGTCTTGAGACGTAATAGACGCGTTCGAAACATCATCTGTCTCGAGCTACGATCACCAAGTATTTCGATGTGGTTTTGCTCATAATTACGAAATACTTTAAAGCAATTATGGAAACACTATTGCCGTCTGAAATAGCTCGATTAGTTCTCGGTAAGTTTGCTTTCTCGTAATTAAAAAATGGAAACTTGTAACCTTTTTTTCGCGGGAACGCCATAATCGTTCTACAAAGCTTTGTTGCAAAGCTTTGTAATTTCTTTGTCATTTATATCTATATGTGTGTCGCACAATTAATGATTAATATGACTATTTTATATATTTTAAAAGAATATATTTTTTTTATAGAAGTAGATAAATTTTTGTACATGTATATCTCTCTCTGATGTGAAAGCGAGCTGCAATAAAATATGTTTTATTTTAATATAACACATTGCTATAATTCTATTGAGTATAAATTATATAATTATGTAAAAAAGGACTTTATTTCATAGTGAATCAATGAGTATGTTTCTTTGGATTTATTTGTTTCAGTTACATTTCCCAGATATTTCTTTCCTAAATATTTCTTTATCTCAAAGTTTCGAATAGAAAAAGATGAAACAAAATATAGGAAATGTGAAATTAAAGAAAACTTCTCTTGTTATTTATATATTTTACAGATATTTTTATACATTGAATTTTGTATTTCTCCTCTTTTACTTGATAATATCATGTGATACAATTGAATTAAAAATTAATTTATGTTGTATTTTCTGCATCTAGGTTATTTGGAAGATCAAAAATGTACTGAAGCAGCCAAGTTATTTTTAGAAACATCTCCACATTTACAAGAATGTCGTACAGTACTTTCTTGTGGAAGGAGGTTTAACACTAGAGTTAATGGTTTAACATTGATGGATATTGTTGAAAAGTTTTCTGCCATTAGTGCCATGAGTAAGTTTCTATTAATTATTTATTTTCATTTGTATTAAAATAGCAATAAAAAGTAAACAAATTTAGTTAGACAATCTAAATTACACAGACAATATGTAGATATTAATTTGATCTGAACATATATGTGCTACTTATTACAGTTCAAGAACGCTTGAATAAAGCCACAGATTGTGAGCAGTTAAAACATTGTGGAGATCTGATAGAGCAGCTCAAGTTTCTTGTAGAAGAGCCACGTGGCCAACGATTTGTTGTAAATATAAATGTACCTTCACAGGTAACTTATTATTATTGAATTTGAATATCTGCCGAATATTCTGGATGTAGTTTTTTGCATTTAATATAAATTAGATACTAGATTCAACCTTAATTAATTATGCTAGAGAAAAATTACGTATAAAAATTATCATTGTGAATATAATTTGTAATCAAACATAGATTAAGAAAAATATTTATCTAATTAAATTATGCAAAATATTATTTTTCAATAGAGCAACACGCAAACATCAAATGGTTTACCCATTACTGCAAACAATATACGTAAAAGGCATAATAGCGAACGGATTAAACGTATTATTAAATCCCAGTCAAATCCAGTACAACAATCCGATGTCATAACAAATCCACGTATGGTTATTTCTTTTTTATTTATTTATAATGTAAATATGTAACATAAAACATTGAATACATTGTTTTGATATAGCAAGTTGCCACAATATCGACACAACTCCTTTAGAGAGCTTGCCTGGGAATATTGATTTATTAAAGCAGGCGGAATGCAGTAATATTCATATAATCGAGAAAAACGATGATAATATCGCACAGGAATCTCACAGACAATGTAACAATAAAAACATAAATAACACTATTGTACATAATAGAAACAATAATATTCGTATAAGTTCAGGTAATTATAACACAGTATTATGTAAATCGATAAATAGACGGAGCCGATTTATTTTCGTTTATTTTTTTTTCTTATAAGATGATATGTCGAGTATACGAAGTTGCGAAATGGGTGATATTGATGAAAAAAAAAAGGGAGAGAGTGCTAATGTAATACCTGAACGGTATACTACAGCTACAAGTACAGAGGAATTGTTAAGTTTTTCCAGTACAGAAGTCCAAACTATTCCTTATGAGATACCCGAATCAGAATCTGAATCTAATGACGAACCTATTGAAAATCTCAGTGTAAGTCTTTAAATGATATTAATTTTTATTATTTATATGTTATGCTTTTAATCCACACATGAATGTCGCAAAAGAAAAATTTACGTTCTAAATCACACACATATACATAAAGATATGGAAGCACATTATGTTATTAAATCTGTTCATGTACATTTCAGATATTAACAAAAGAAATATTGAATCGTACAGAATTACAAGAATGTATTGCGGAGAATATCAACAAAGCAATCATTCCTACAGATTTATCTTTCAAGGATGAAAACTTGAACGAATCGATAGTCGGTGAGGGAAACACTTCAATTATGTCTGAATTAAATAGTGCTATTAAATCGATTGTTGAAGCAACAGAATCTGATCCTGTATTTGAAAAATTTCTCACTGAAATCATTGGACCACACACTGAGACTGATACAAGTCCAGAGGACGATGGTGAAGGAAAGCTAAGCCCAAGATCTCTTAATGAGTATGTATATACATTTTATTCTCGTTTTCTAAATATATTTATATATTTATTAAAAAATTATGAAATTATTTATTCTTGAAATATTTTAACATTTGTAGAGTGCAAGAGAAACAAGCCGAAGTAGCATTAGACAACATTAGTTCACCAGAACCAATGATAGTGGATACTAGAATATCTGCAGAGACTAATATAGTAGATGTGCCTTTGAAACATAGACTTCGCAGTTCTTCTAGACAGCAATATAACAGAATTGAGGATGAAGGTGATAAAGTAAGAGATCAAGAGAAGGAACAGAGCGCCTTGGAAGATCAAAATGCAGCTGCAGTGTTAAGTATTATAAATATTATCAATAAAACATCTGACGAAGATAAAAGGAATCCTGATAATGTGAAAGAACCGAGTGATAACAATGGACAAAAAATGCAAACAATGTCTGCAGTAAGTAGAAACGATGCGGTTCTAAAGCATCCTTTAGCTTCAGTAGATGTTCAGAAAACGAATAATATTATAATACCCGCGAATAATAATGTACAATCTAAAATTAAAAAATCTACAGTAAAACGTCCAAGATCAACAACGAAACATAAACACGAGCAAACAACAATCAGCAACAATCAATTTATAACGGAACACGAGATTATGACGATGCCAACATTGATAGTATGCTCGAAAGACGAGGTAGATAATCTTCTGATAAGTCGCTCGTCCATTAAATCGACTCCCACCTCGCGTTTTCTTCCGATTGCTCCGAAGGATCCAAATAGAATTGAGAAACCCATGGAAACTCTATATCTGAAGACAGTAAACGTAGCTCAGCAAGTACCAATCAAAACTCTACCGACCGTGGTAGAAGAATCAGATAATTCTGCAAATCAATCAGGAGTATTCCAGTCAACCAAAAAAAATAATAAAGCAAACAAACGATCGAAAATCATACACGAAACTGATGGGACAGTTCCTATCGACGCTAATCAACAGGTATTAGAACATCCGATAGAATTGGCGCAAATTAATAAGATCGGTAGTGAGTCAATAACGCTTTATGGCAACGAAGCCAACGCGAAAACATTATTGGATGGCGCCAATTTGCCTACGATCAATCTGGAGGAACATATCAGCCTATCGGAGAGTGGACTTTCTCCATATTTAAAGTTCAGTTGTAGCAAAACAAGTCAGAGTCACAATCTCTCGGACATCGATATAGCACCCATAGAGAAGCCAGCGAGTAATAGAACCAACGTCGAGCAACACTTGCCTAAAAGCACCGATATTATTACTAAACGCACACCAAAGTCTTTGTTACAAAGTAGGTCTAAGAATCATAGATTAAGCTTATCCACGCCGCGTAAACGAAGTGGTCACGTAAGAGCGCTTGATTTTAGCACACCTATGAAAGCGACGGGTTCTAATAGAAAAGCAAACGGGGAAGGAAACGTTCAGCTTTCGTCTGCGTCGACGAAGCGTTTGAAATCCGTTTGCAGGACTTCGTTATTTAGATCGCCATCGCTCTCCCATACTTCGCAAAAGCAGAAGAGTCCAATGAAAGTCTGTCAATCTTCTTATAGGATTCCTATAGCTACTAGAAGTCCCGCGCCCAAACTTATGGGTGGTTGGGACAAGTGTAACGGTGTTGGTGTCATCATAGGCGAAGTATCCCCTCACGGGAGCACCAGCGCATCTTGCTCGTCCTTTGAGGATAGAACTGTTCAGCACAAGCCCTCTAAAGCGCCAATAGAAAGTTGGGATGCTGATTTACGTAAAAGTGTACAATTGAATAAGAAGGACGAGACTGGCGTTCAAACAACCGCGAAGAGAAGACGAGATTCCATCGATAAAGACGATGCGATACGTAAAAGGACTAAGTATAAATCACGATCGCCGAAGGGTAAAAACAGGCGGAAAATCCACAATAAACTGGAGGTAAACGAAAAATGTAATCGTGACATCGAAGATATCGATGAACAAGAAGAGGAAAATCTTCAAGAAAATGTAAAAAATACAGTAACGGAAAAGACGCTTCGTGCTGCCGCAGTAATACAACCGCGAAATAACGAGAAGGAAAATGTAACAAAAGTTGTTATTAGCGCCGCAGATTCCATGACGAATAAGTCCGACAAAATTTCTCGACCGGCCGAAACATCGACAAGAGTGGATTCTAGTACAAACGTGTCCAATAGCAATACGGTAAGTGAGACGAAACCAGTGAAAAAGTACGCACAACTGAAGACGATAACAACTAATTTAAGAAAGTCCGATAATGAAAATGAAAAGAGCGCTCAAAATTATTCGCAGATATCCGAAATGTCGAAAATTTTGTCTGCAGACAGTACGCAACACATCTTGCAGATGCCGCATGATATGATTAATTTGGAGACACCTAGAAAATTCGACAATATATCCGGTCCTCCACCGACACCGAGAGTGCTGAGTCCTAATAGCATTACGCCGTTCATCAAGATCAGCGAAGATTCTACTAAAGTACGTAGCAGTTTCATCACCACACCGGAATTTCCAATAACTCCGGGCGTAGCTATAACTCCGAAAGAGGAGACGACCAGAGATATGATAAAAAGAGGAGAGTACAATTCTTCGTATTACAAACCCTCCTCCGAGCAAACTCAACAAAATTCCGATTTATCGAAATCTAAAAATACACAAGAATCACCCATTATATCTTCATCGCACATATCGTTACATTCAATGCATAATAGTCTCACTTCTGGTAATACTTATCAGACGTGTTCTACCTCTAAACTGGAAATAACGCAATTCGAAGTAATCAAAGAGAATTTGCCGAGAGAGGAGGCTATCAAGGAGCTGAAAATTGCATCGGGCACAGCAGAACTCGACAATCCGGTTCTCATAGATCACCATATATATAAAGCCATAAATGAATATCGTGAAACAATAATCGATAATTATGTCGATGATAATTATGTCGTCGATTCTCACAATGATTCTGTAAAGAATAACAATTTCTCGTCATCTGATACTTCATCATCGTCATCCTCAACGTCATCGTCGTCTTCGTCTTCATCGTCGTCATCCACTAGTTCGAACACAGATGCATCGGCGATGTGTTCGCCGAACGACAAATGTGACAAAACGTCAAATAAAATCAACACAGATACCAGTAGCAACTCCGCGGAGAAGGGCATTAATGTACCGAAAGATGCAAATCACGCATCGGCGAATGTATCGGATGATGTAACGTGTAAAAGATCGGATAATGTTCTATTCGAATCGGAGTCTTCGCCGAAGAAGGTGTTCGCGATTGCGAAAACTGACGATCAGATAGAGGCCACGTTGAAGGAAACTCCCGCCAAGGATGAGACTCTTTTAAATGAGGCCGATATTTCGGAAACGCCCAGCAGCTCCAAAAGCGGAGTGGAATCTTTGACTAACTTGTCGACAAAAATATCGGCGATTATGACGGAAGACGAAAAACTGTCAAAATCCAACAATTTCAACAAGCCAAAGAATAGCAATAAAATCCAGATTTTAAACAAACTGAGATCAAAACCAAAGATAATAAACGTACAATATATTCAGCTAGAACGTGACGAGAACAAATCGGACAAATACCGATTCAAGCATGAACAAGACGTGCCTACAAATGATAAACTCATGCACAGACAACAACTAGAGGAAAAACGACAACGCATGATCGCAAAAATTAAAGATAATCCAAAATTGACTCTTGCTAATAGAACGAAGCATATATATAAGCGCATTTTAAGCTCTTCCAACAGTCTAAAAAAGAATACTCAATTTGGTAGAGGACAACGAGGTATACGATCGACAGTAAAATATTCTCATAACGTTAACGAAAATATTAATAAAGACTCAAAATCTCCGGATAATCTACAAGAAAATTCGACAATAAATACGCAACAAAAACACTTGCCATCAACACGGAATCGAGATGTCGTGAATAAATGTTGCGATAATGAAGAAGAGATAAAGAACCGAGTTGTCGCGAAAAATACAGATCCTGGTATAACGAATTATCAGACTAACAATAATGAATTATTCAATAATGATACGACAAAATCACATGGAGATAATATTGGTGATACGACGTTACTTGAAAAATTAATTGAAAATTATGATAAAAAAGAACCCACACAATTACATAAAACTTTTTCATCGAAAGATTCGAATAGAGGAGCAAATGTCGAGAGTCCCAAACAGGAATTATCAACCGTTCTTCAATGTCTGCAATTAGTGCCGGCGTGCAAAAATGAACATAATGATGAAAATCAAACTGGAAGGCAACATGAAGAACTGAATGAATTTGAAAATCGAGCTAATAATGAATCACAGGCAATCGATATTCATAATTATAAAGCCGAGTATCACTTTGTATACGACGACAGTATGCCAATGAGAAAAAGAAGAAGAAGATATAGTAACCATGAATTACAGATCGAGATCAATTATGCCGATCTTTCGGATCCAAATGCCGGATCTGAATGCATTAAAGTAATGAAAGTCACAGAGTTTGAGGAAATATTTAATCTACCGCCAAAGTCTAAGAAACGGACAGTAAATAAAAAATCATCTGTCAAGAATATAAAGGTTTGTAAGACAGTAAAAGATGCATTCATTTTAAAAGATAATGCTGCAAAACCTTTGGCCACGTCATCCCCTGTAGAAGAATTATCAAAAGGTAAAGTGAAAAAAACGATTATCAAGACTGCCGCGGCAAATAGAAATGATAATGATACGCAATCTGATGTAAAGAGAAAACAGCAAAAACATCAAGAAAAAGGTAAGATTGCAAAAATATTTCGTTACATTTGCAATGAAGTAAACATAATTCTTTGCTAAAGAAATTAATATTAAATGTTTTTTCAGACATTACCAAAAGCCGAAAGAGAAAACTATCAGAAACAAAAGAAACGAAACAGGTATATATTAATTTGTAAAAATATATATACGTTTAACTGTTTGTAATACAATAACTCTATATAAATTTGAAAACAAATTTTTCTTAAGTTTGAGAAGAAGCCATGCATGACTGATCCACAAATATTACTCAATAATTTGGATGATGTTCATCTGAATGAACTCTTGTGTGTAGTTCACGGACCTGAGTAAGTGCTCTCTTTTAGTGTGTAACATGTATATAACAAGAAATAATAATTATAAATATTGTCCTTCTTTGTATGCAATATTACTATTAATTTTCTATTTTTATACAGTGTACATATGTAATATTAGAATATTTTATATTATACTGACAAAGAGTTTCTATTAGATTTAATATTTTTATAATCCTTCGATTAAAATCGTTTTTTATAATTATATGAAAATGAATATTATATTATTAATATATTGTAAAGTTAATCACATTTGTTTCTGTAATCGAAAATTTACACAAACGGCAAATATTTAAAAGCATTTGAATCATATCATTAAATGATAACGAAAATAGAAATATATAATGCATATTACTCACTACATACTACATATATTGTGATTATAGATATATTAATAGTGTAGTATTTATATAGTATGGCATATGCTCAAAACTATTATTTAAATCTTATTTCTTTAATTGATAAATTGATTTTACTTTAATTATGGTACTATGTATTAAACCTTAGCATGTTAATAATTTATTTAATATATTTAAATTAGTATGTTCTATGTGTGTATGTGTATGTATGTACATACACACATACACATACATGTATATACATATTAATAATTAAAAAAACATAAGAGAAGAGTAGATAATTTTTTCAGTCGATATGTACAACATTTAGACTCAGCCATATTTTTAAAAATGTAAATATAAAAAATGAGGAATATCAAAATAACATACAACAAACTAAATATAATTTTAGAGAATTTATGAAATGTTTTAAACTTTTGATTTACAATGTTGAAAATCTTACCAGCTATTCATCATCAGATCTGAATATAAAAAAAAATATTTATCTCTTATAAACCAATAATAAATGTTACTTTTTCTTAAACACAGGTACACTTTTTAAATAGTATTACATTTTATGTAGTTTTACTCCATTATCTATGTGTGATACTTTAAAAAATGTACAATTATTTATTTTTTGAAAAATTAATACAAAAGAAACATTTTCGAAATAAGCAAAAAAACAATTCTAACACTTATTTTTCGCAACTTTATCTACCTCTTCCACAATATCCATAAATTTTCGCCATTGTTGCATAGATAAGCATATTCCTATAAAAAAAATATCAAGATAAGAGAAATTGGATATTAATATATTTTAATGTTTTTGGTATTTTTAGAGTCTATTAATTTTGTAAAAAAAACTATATTACCTTTTTTGGTAGGTTTTAAATCACCTTCTTTGTCATAATACATTTCTCGGATATCTACATAATATTTGCCCTTGAAATCTCTCACATTCACTTGGCGATTGCTTCCCAAATCCCAAATAGTTTCCTCATTCTCCTTTTTTGCCTTTTTTGCTGGTTTGTCTTCTTGTTTATCCTCTCGTTTCTTTTTACTTGACTTTACTTCCTGCAAAAAAAAGGAATATAAATGAGCATAAAACAATTACAAATTTTTATAATAATATTTTTGAAAATAATATACCTCCTCGCTACTGTCATCGCTATCGGAAACATATTCCTTTGATTTTGGCATCTTCAGTTCAAAAGATTCAGTTCAATATAACGGCAAAATCTTAAAAAAAAAATACAAATTTATTATCGATTATTCGTTATATCTGAAAAGACTAGATTCTAAAAACATCGATTTCTATTCATTTTACACCGTTATTCAGTTTGATGATGAATAAATAAATTGATCTAAAAAAATTAATTCTTTTATAAGGAATACGAAATATTTTTGATAGATATTACGCATACAAAAGCAAAGCTAAAACCTAACCTTTACAATTGGATTTATCGTTTTCATGACAAATTAATCAATAATTTCAAGATAGCTATAAATTACAATTGCAAATGAGAACTAAATATTTTATTATTGCATATATTAATAATGTTGTAAGATTATAAATATATATAATTATGAAAAATAATATTACCAGCTTATATTTGTCGAATTCCAGATTCTTTTTATGTCAAACGGACAAATATTGCGCATGAGCAGTGCGCAGTAGACATCCTTTGCAAATCTTTAGGCTGGGTGCACAGGTTTTTATATAGACGCGTAATCATAAATATAAGGAAATTGATTGGTTCTTTTTCTTATCCATAACTCATGGACCAATTAATTTCCTTATGCTTAGGCTTATGCACCTACGCAAGTCTGTGCTTTCGACCTAACGAACGATATAAATCTCACTTTTATTTATATATTTTATATTCATATTTTCAATGAGGTTTATATCTCTCACTTCAGAGATTTTAAAAATAAAAATAAAAATAAAATAAAAATTAAAATAAAAGTTTTAGTTGTTTCACAGATTATTGTCTTGATGCTGACAAAATAGAAAAATTTGCCGACAATTCTTTATTACAATTAATTCTTGCTTCAGAGATTATATAAAAACTCAAGCCTAAACAATAAAGATATCTTATGACTTCTCATTAAGACGAGGCGTGAAAATCTATCTTCTTGATCTACAATTTATAATCTATAAATTCAATATATTTTTATTGTTTCCATCAATAACTTATTTGTGTCAAAAATTATTATTTGTAGCACTTCTGTAAGCGGTTGTACATATTTTTTGCTTGTGTTTCTTATAATTAGCTTCACACAATTATATTGATGCGTGTAAATTGTTGTTTTCTGCAATAGTTGAAATATTACCTCATTTTACGACAAATGATCATTTAATTCTAGTGTAATGCATTTTGTAAGTGATACTGTAAATTAACGCGATAAGATTACATGTATACATATATTTATTCGCTTTCTTCCTTAGAACGTTCTCTATCCGAGCGTCTGGATTTCTTCTTACGTCGGCTCGGACTTCGCGATCTTGATTTGTGTCTACGAGATCGTGACCTTGATCGATGCCGATGCCTGAAAATCATCAAAATCAATAAACATTAAAATATTGTATATACACATCACACATAATAGATATAGAATTTTAGAAAAGAATTTACCGATCTTTATGACGATACTGAGATCTGGACCTATCACGCTCTCGATCTTCATCTCGCGTCATCGAATCTCTATCTCTATCACGGTCCCTTATCATTGAGTCTTTTTCTCTATCGCGATCACGATCTCTATCTTTGTCTCTATCCCTATCTCTGCCCATAGAATCCAATTCTCGATCTCTGTCCCTGTCTCGTTCTCGATCTCTGCCGTCCCGTTGATCGCGTGGTTGCATTAAAGGAGGAATGGATGTTGGTGGAACCATGGTGGGTATGGTCTTAGGTCCCATATCTTTGTCGTCTTCACCTTCGGTCATCGGGATTGCCAGATTTGTCGGTTGCCATGTCTATGATAGAAAGAAAAAACTGAGTATATTTCTACAATTATTTTCATAAAATGAACAATCTTCTAATATATATAAGGTAATATTGTCTAATATAATTTTTCAGATAATTTACTAATCAGACATAATGCTATCCTTTTACCGGATCATTACCCCACTGGTTGTCCTGTGTGGGTTCATAACTCTGATAATATGGATCAGTTTCCGGCATGTAGAACGGCGCTGGCTCTCCGGCATATCCCGGTGGAGGCATATCAAACGGTGGTGGCATCCCTGCTCCAGGAGGTGGTACACTCATATCAGGAAAACCTGGCTTTCTAGAATATTCTCTCCTATCGGCCGTCATGACTTGTATAACATTTCCTTTCGGCGGGGATTTATCCAAATTCCTTCGGGAAGCTAAACCAGAACTTCCAATAACATCTATAGTCCCTGCCATTTTTCGTCCTGGCGGTGGACCAGCTCTTTTAGGACCCATAATACCTGAGTATTTACTGTTATCATTGGTTATCGCCACTTGAGGTACCCTCATGCTGCCAGGATTACCACCGCTACCTCCTGCATTCAAAATCAATCCCACTCCTGATTCACTTCGCATCCGTTTCTGACGTTCGCAATACGCTCTCCAGGTTTCCTCATTAAAGCCATAGTTGAAATAATCCGTGATATCTGCACCAGGTTGTCTCCACGGCTTATCTTCTAATTGATCTAAATTATATTCATGAGCTGGTATCCCATTGATAACTCCAATAGTCTCAAACTCATCTATACTGAACTTTCCTGGCTGTTTGCTCAATTTATCTGGCACACCAGATGCATTAGTCAGCAATCCTCCTCTTTTGATATTTAAGCTACCATATGCCGGTGTCGATTTGATATCGCCAATCACAACATGTACATCATCATCAGAATCGGAATCACTGGCTGCTTCGCCATCCTCCTGGCTAGAAGCTTCTCTAATTCCATTCTTATTTGTATCCATATTATTCTCTTCCTGTACATTATTCAATAAAGAGGATTCTTCATGACCTTCAACAGGGAAATCAATATCCTGCATCTGTAAAAATAAACATATATAAACATATATATTATAAAAAATATATCAAAGAGAACACAAAAGGGACAAATATATGAAAAAAATAAAAGAGAAGGAATATGTACAATAATTCCTACACAAACTCTATTTCATTAATCTATTGATTTTTTTTCATTATATATCTATACAACTTGTAATTGTTTACTGTATTAGATATTACACATGGAGTCATATTATTCTGTTGAAGTAGCAAATTATAAAATTACAAAAAAATAAATATTATAGATCTTCAAAATTAAAATACATATAATAAAAATATCTTCCTACGTGCGTTTGAAAAAAATAAATTATATATAGTGAATAAGAGGTTAGGTCGCGCGTGTACCTCGGGCGGTGTTTCATTAATTCCCTCCATTTTAAGGTCCTCTGGAATTTGAGATTTTTCTTGTGTTTTTGTCGAATCATTTTGTTGAATCTCCGACGGTATATTGACATATTCCTTTCCATCGGTAGAATCCCCATACAACCACTGATCTTCGTTTTCGTCCGCCATTCTTCCTTTTTCTCTCTATTTGACAAACATGTGTACGCCTCTTCGAACATAGGTATAATGCAGAACGCGAAATATGTCACATGTGATTGCCAATCGTCTATCATACATATCTATTATCCCTAGAAGAGCAAGAAGCTAATTGGCTGCCGCGTTTTACTCTTCCCGCGGGCATGCGCAGAAATTATTAAAAATAACGGAGTAATCGAAGTATTCTCCCCACGTTTTACAATTGAAAATCCAGTGTGCAAATTTTGCATAATTAATTATTATTATTGTATTACAATCATCTTGTCGATAATGCAATTTTTGCATGAAAAGTGACAATTTGTTATAATGTATTCTAAATTATATGCAGATTAATAACATCGGTTAATAAGTGAATAATCATTCATGTAAGTAATTCTATCTGTTATTATTCAATTCTATGTACATACATAATTTCAAACTTCTGTACGTCCTGTTAAAACCATTAAAATAGTATCGTTTATTTATGCCATTTACAGTTATTTTATCGATACGATTTTCTATCAATCTATCGATAATTTTCTATAGTTAAGGGTATAATAGTCTTTAAAATATATATTTCTTTCATTTGAATTATTATATATAATAGTTATATTAATATTAGTTATTAATATTATGCTCTTCTATTTCTATTTTTACATAATTCTTAATATTTTTCTTCACTGAGAAATTAAAAATGTAATATGGATTTAAAATACAGGATTTGAATTTTCTCAAATTACTTTTTACAGGTATCCTTTTGAAAATTATTAATACTGACATATTAAGCAGTTCTAAATTAAGTTCTTTCTTTTTAAATATATTATACATATATTTGAGCTAAAAATTTTTTTAGTTTTTCGCTCTCTTCCTTCGTCTTTAATAATAAAAGGATATTATTTCATCTAATATTAAAATAGCGCTTGAAATCAAGCTATTTATGAGTAAATTGATTGTCAAATTGCTAGGAAACAATTTTCTGTACAAAACAATATGATTCTGTTCCTATTTGTCAACCAATACATACAAGATGTTTCAAGACTCATGGGACAAATTTCTGAGAGATTTTACAGAATTTTTGTTTAAAAAATCTTGTCCTTCAATCCCTAAGGAACTGATGTATATATATATATATATATGTTCAAACTGCCTGAGGTAGGCAACCAGTCGCACAATAGCATTGCGTTTGACATTTGACAATACTCTCTCTCTCTCTCTCTCTAGTCTATGTTCTTTAAATAAAATTAAAAAAAAACAACAAAAAATAAAATGAAAAGCAGAAAACAAATTAAAAACAATTATTTTTAAATTCTTTTACCATTAAGTCATTTAAACTCTGCATTAACAATCTTCTACTCGTTTATGCATGTTTGAGCGCGTTGCTCTTACATTACTATTTGGAGAAATCTTGAAATCTGGTCGGATTGTTGTAAGTGCCTCATTTGTTTGATCTTCTATCTTATTTAGTACTTTTGTAAATATTTTCACGCCATCGCGACTCAATGTAACTCCTAAATTTACATTTTTTAAAGTTTTGTTTTCAGTCATAATGTTAGCGATCTTTTTTAATTCATCGATATTCAACGATGATACATTAGAATCTTGAAATTGCAACTTTACGCTAGAATTTGAATTGTTTCTCCTAATTTGCACAAAATCATCATCCGTCCTAATTTTGGCGAGTTGCTTAAGTTTCTCTAGTAGAATTTGATTTTCTTCGAAAGTCAATGTTTTCTTATCCGATGTTTGCATTGTCCTCGAATTCTTCAAAGATAAAGATGGTTGATCTTGAATTGACGAGACTACTTTTTCTGTTGTAGTGAGTCCAAATAATCTATCTGCTTCATTCGATGCTGAAATTTTGTCCGATCGGGTAATTGGATTAGTAGAATTTGTGATAATTAATTTCGAGACAACGGAATTATTTTTGATGTTTGACGAAACTCTGGTACTGATGGAAGTTACAATTTCGACTATTTGCTCGATTATGGTACTCTTGTGCGTTGAAGATTCCTTTTCTCTAAATCTCGTAGAATCCGGTGAGATCTCGTGCGAAGAAAAACGATCAAAAACAATGGGTTTGGTATTCATTACATTTCTCTCAGACGTATAATTACGCGTTTCGAATAGTTGCTCCAAAGAAGTAGATTCAATAGAATCGATCTTTGGTCTCGATTGCACTAATTTATCAATTCCAGTATTGTTATTAACAGGTGCGAGATTTTTTACGACGTAAGCTTTTAAAGTATCGTTATAAACTTTCTTTATATCATTATTATTGTTCATCGTCGTTGTTTCCGCGTATGATTCCGAACTTTTGTTTGATTGACCGGGCGTATGCTTAACAATATCAATTTCAATAAATGTTGAATTTCTCGATATGCTTTTCTTGTCGTCCGAATTTTCCACGATCAATTTTTTTATGGGATCTGAATAACTCTCTGTAGTACTAAGATACGACAACTCATCATCGCGTTCATCGTTGATATTTGGATTTGTCGATATAATTTGTTCGTAATTTGATGGCTGAACTGTAGTATCGTCGTACTCTGTAACAAAAGTTTCCATCTCTACAATCTCTGAATTCGGTAGCAACGGTGTCATAACTTTATCTTGGGACATATTTGATTCCGCTTCCATCTCGTCATTCGAAAGAAATAAATCGTCCGAGTAACGAAGAGAAATGTTGTCATTATAATTTACGACGGATGTAATTTTATCAACAGGTATTGTGTGTCTGAAAGGTCTTATAGTTGCCGAATTCTCGATCAAGCCTGGTCCAAAACCGCCTCCATTCAGATCAGGAGTATTGTAACTGGTATAAATCGGTTGTTGCGAATTAATATCGACGTTTTTGTCCTGCAACGTATATTTTTCATTTTCGTTTAATGTCAAGGTACTATCTTTATTTCTTGTTTCTAGTTCAATTTCTGTGTCTAATATAGGCTCCGCTATGCCAATACCACGTGTAGGTGATTTACTCGAATTTTTTTCGCTATGATGTGATTCAGTATCATCAGGTTTTATCGTTGATACCAAATTATCAAATTTCTCTTCCGCTTTTTGAGTATCGTTTGAGTCTGCATGATCTTTATAAAATAAAGCATCATCTTTTATCGAAATGTTTTCGAAGACATTGCGAGTTATCAAACTTTCCAATATCTTCGAGTTAGAAATTGTTTTGTCCTTGCTATCATATTCTGATGAGACTTTTAATCTGACATTGTATGTTTCCGAAGGCAGTTGTCCGGCTACTTCGATATCTGGTTTTTCATTGTCCTCTGATTTAGACATTGTCAAATCTGGGACAATTCTGTCTCGCGGAAAGCCGGTGATGTCAGTGCTAATGGTACTGATGTCATGAAAATTAACAGATTCCGATAATCCTAATATTGTCGACGGTGTCGTACTCGTCTTATTGTCGAGTTGTTTTATATTACTGCGAAGATCATTTGTGAATGAAACAATTTTCTGCGTGCTTAATTCAGTACGATTAGATTCTTCGATATCACTGTCGGATAACAATTTAAATTCTGTGTTGATATATCCTGGTATAATTGGTTTCCACGGTGAAGTTTCCAAATCAGGATTATGGAAATCTTTGAAAATGTCCAAATTGCTTTGAGTAGTTGTGATCCTTAACTCTTGTGACGTTTTCAATTCATCTTTCTTTTTTCCGTTTAATTTCTCTTCATTGAACATAACTGTCGTGGATTTTGTGAAAGATATGGTAGGTTTGTCCGTTGGCGAATAGTTCATAAAATTGGATGTTTTATTTGACCTTGTGATTTGTTCATGGGAGAGTATTTTCCTAGTAGTATCCTTAATATCCGGTGTTAACTTAGATGTTCCTTTAGTCGAATTATACGCAGTACTAATATTAACTTTCGTTGCTCTATAAGTACCTTTAATAGTTGGAATATTGCTAAAATCTATATCGGATTCATTGGAATCGATCTTAGCTGGTCTTACAGTATTTGTTTTCGACTTTGAACTCAAAATTAAATTGTTGGTTCTGTTTGGTCGTAATAAACTGTTTTTAGTAACCATAGTGTGTTTCTGCTGTTCTTGCTTTTGATTTATGCTACCTATCTTCCCTCTTTCTTCTTTATTTATTCCTAAAATTTTGATAGAAAAATATAGAAAATATTTATAGAAAACATTTAAAAAGAAATTATACTTTATTAAAGATAATATACTTTATTTGAACAAGAACAAGTTTGATGTTAAAACATATGCTGGATAATAATGCTGAATTATTTTTTATGAAATGTTTGATGTAATATTTACTAAAATTTTTAAGCAATACATATAATGTCCAAACAATGCTTAGTAATGTTTTCTTTCCAAAAAATTTTCCAACTAAAACTACAGCAATGTCTAATAATATTTGTAGTCCATATATTACAATAATTCAGCAGTTTATCATTCAATTTGATCATTACTTACTTTTCACCGAAACAGTCGTGAGATCTAATTCCATATCTTTAAACAAAGATGATATTGAATATGTTTCTTTGACGATAATATCTTCAATAGTATCTTCAACATTTATAATTGAACGTGGTATCTTTTTTCGATCAAGATACAATCTGAAGAATACTTTCAAGGTCCCATTTTCAAATTTTTCTATCGTTGTTCGTTTGTAGGATGAACCCAATATGCTTTTTCTAAATAAAAGCTCAAACTGAAAATAATAAAAAATGGTATTTTTAAGAAATTTAATTTTTTGATATTTAATCTAAAATAATTCTAAAATATTTCACTTACAATGTTTTGAAATTTGCGTTCTTTTTCTCGGAAAACCATGCTTGTACTCAGCTTTAACATGGGATTGTATTTTTCTCCTCTAATAATTCTGAAGCTACACGAAAATTCGATAATAGCTGTAATCAAGATTTAACGTAAGATCTAAAAGTATTACGTGTGACTTATTATTATTATAATTAAAAATATTTAAAAACTTACCATTTTTAGAATCTGTTCGGATAACTGTAATATTGAATATTTAATTAATGATAATTACTTGTCTGTGTATATAATTTATTATAAAATATAACAGAAGAAGAAAGAAAAAAAGAACAAAAAACTTAATATAAAGAATTTAATAACAATATTTAATTTACCCATCCATAAAGCTAATCCAGCAATTGCTAGCACTGCTATTAATACTAATATAGAGGATATAATTAACATGGCACTAAATCTCCATGTAGAATTACTATTCACCCGTGCTATCGATGCCTTAGACCAAGTAGATCTTGGCGTTAAATAATAGTCATTCTGTAACGAAAAAATCATTAAATATTTATAATAAAATATTTTATTTTTATTTGACATATATTTACTCAATATGAATTAATGAAAAAAGTTTTCTTCAAACAAAAAAATATGTCTATAAACTATAACTCTGAGATATCCCCTATTTTTAAAAAATGTCTTTTTTACATTAATCTTTATATTCGGAGACTATGTGTTTTTTTACTGATAGATATAATTCTAATAGAACACACATATGTTTTAATAGCACATGCTTATTATATTACTAATAATAATAATGTTAATTTAACAATACTTTTATTATAAACTATAAAGATATTTTTTTATAATAACAGAAGATAAAAAGTTTTGGAAGATTTTTAATTTAAAATTCAAATATTACCAATAAAAATCCCTCTCCTTCTCTCCTTCTCTCTCTCTCTGTCTTTCTCTATTTTTCTCTTTTAGTAAATTTGGTAAATTTATCATAAACATCATTTAATCAGTAAATATGTAATTTTATTATACATATCATTTTATTTATTTAAAAAATTTTTTGGATACAAATACGTAAATACATAGTTTTATCTAGTTTAATCGCTATAGAAACGGATATATAATATAAATGGAGAGCATATTTATTAGATGCCGACTTATATAAAATGAAATAAACAAAAAAAAACAAGCATAAGTTTTAGAACAACTTCTCGCTTGTATAAATAGAAATAAATAGAAGTCTCTCTGTGATTATATAAAATATATTTTCTCGTTAACGGTTACAGTTACTAATATAATATGCTAATATACGATATAATGACTGCGATGTCTGTTTTCCTTAGAAACAATTTAAATATCAACCATATAGTGCGGTATAATGCGCGCACATCTGCATAATGTACGAGAAGAATAAAAAGCAAAAATCGTGCGGTACTTTTCATAAAATGATGACAAGCTATAAACTTCTAACGGTTTATCGCTTACGCTTCTATCTAGATATTGCATCCGATATGGTCGATTTCACCGATGTATTCGAGATATTTTGCCTGTCTGAAGATGCGAATCCATATAGCACTGAATCTCCTAGATATATAGCACCGTTATAACGTTGCAAGTTCCAATAAATGTAACAGAAATGTTGGACAAAAATATTGGAAGTATCACAAATTATCGCTGACAAATTTCTACATTTTATTTCATCGAATTGAATTTTGTGAATCAAAATGTATATCATTTTTTAGACACATGATATTTAGTTCTACTGCTACTCACGATTTATATAAATGTTTACGCAAATTATAAGATCTGCGTTTCAATGCGACACTAACGATAAGTATTTTAAATTATTAATTATAAAGTCAAATAATTAATTATAAATTCACAAGTATTACATGTTCAATCACAATTACTCCTCGAGTTTTTCCCTTATGTTTGATCAAAGGAAATAATGTTAATTTGAATTATTATATTTATAGACTTATTAGATTTATAGATACATTTTATAGACTAGTTTTCTCTATTTCTTATTAATGTAATTTGATCGTTCCTTTAATATTTTTCAATGGAGATGCGAGCTATAGAGTAATTCTCGGCGGTACTTAAATGGTGTTGCCGAGCATATCCAACTATGTAGATCATAAAGCGTGGTAACAGCTATGTGATTCATGAAAAGACTAACTCTGCTGTCTTATTAAAAATTCATAAATAATGACATTTTAGAAATGACTATCATTCGGTTGCTAAAGATTATTTTAATTGAAAAATTAAAAAAACACAAGAAACTTGGCTCGATATATATATTGCTATAATTTAAACTAAATAAAAGTGCATTGCAAAAATATCTGCATAAACATCATCTGCATTAACAACATAATGCAATTTAAAAAATTTAAATATTTAAAAATATATTAAAAAACTTTGATATTTCTAGCTAATAATTTGAGAAATGTGCGTCATGTAAGGAACTCTATCTATATGCGTATCATGACCTAGGTGGAGTCAGTGCACGGCCTTCAAAGAGGCGGTAAAAAGAGAAGAAGATACGAGTACGAACAATTTTACTGAGTGCAAAGATCCTTCAAGGACATTACCGCAACTTTCATCTCTCTCTGTTTAATGTCGGTTTAATGAGAAGTTCCTAGAAACGCGTCCCTTGAATCATTTACAGGTACGGATTATAATATTTATCCAAAATCAGAATGTAAAATCACTTATTATATTGTCTATGTAAGACGAAAGTTAAAATTAAACTAAAAGTATACAGTTAAAAAGTAATTTAAAAATATACAGTTAATCTCTCATTGAAATTTAAATTGAAATTAATCATTTTCATTAATATGTAATAACATATATATATTTATACAGATAACTACGAGATCTTTTGGCAACAGAAATGAGCAATTTTTTAGATTCTTATTTTATATTTTTATTTAGTATAATGTACAAGAAAGTCCATTATATATATATATATATATATATATATATATATATATATAAACATAAGTAAAAAAGTAATTAAAAAGTAACTTACGAAATTTGCCTTCACACATTGAAATTGATTAAATAAATACTATTTGTATTGAAACTTGTAACATTAAGTCAATTTTTAATGAATTTTTAATAAACTTTTAATGAAATCGTAATGAAAAGAGCCAATTGATTAAGATTTCAGTATATGATTTAGTATGATTCAATATGATTATAATTTTCAATATGATTAATGAGTAAAATATTTCCCTTTTTGATGTTATTGCGATTTTAAGATTTATATTACTCAAATTATAATTTGTCAATGTCTAATTTATCAAAGATGTTATTAAATATTATTTTTTGTTTGCGGTAGAACGCATTTAATATTCAACGGTGTACTTGTGTATATTTCAGGTACGTTGAACCTAACTGTCAAGTATTGTAATGACTGTGGATAGATAAAAAGGTATTATCTATTGGACTGGACGAATATTTCTATTATATTTCATAATTCTCCTAGCGGTTCAGTAGAAGAAGTTTAATTATCATTCAACCGACGTTCTCAGACAATTTGAGCGTAGGCGATTAACAATTCAAATATCATCCGGAATTATTAGCATAAAAGATGTTGTCTATTATGTATATATTGATATGTGCAATCCGTTCTTCATGATATGCTGTACGTTCCTCGTATCTCAGACATGTTTTTTAGTTAAGATAATCCATCTCATTTAAAAATCTTATTGCATATAATGTAATTTGCCATGAGTAAATGCGCATCACTATCGTTGCAATTATCACTCACCGTTGTTGACTTGATAACGGTACCATTGTGCGCGAATTGCGGACATATGTCGACAATCAAACTTAACCATCTAATTACCCTAAGACACTGCACCGGTGAGAAATGAGGATTTTAATACAAAAAGAAAAATATTCTCATTAACATGGAAAACCTAATTGCTGAATAATTTGAAAGATTTTAAGATAAACTAAACGAAAGAATGTACATATAACAATTAAATGTTTCAATAATATTTAACATGTTTGTTAACGAACATTCCTTTAAAAAGAATATCTAAAAAGATATTATATAAAAAGAAACATTTTTTTTTTATTTATTATACATGTAAAATTTTTTTAGAATGCAATATGATATTACTTAAACTTTTTTTCTTCTAAAATTATTTTAAATAATAGAATAAAATATACACAATATAATTCGGAAAAATAATAAAAAAAATAATGAAATAAAATGAATAATGTAATCTTGAAAACAATTGCAATTTAAAATATAAAAAAACAAAAGAAGCAAATCAATTTTTAATGAAGCAATTTTATCCTTAAGCAATTTTATTCTTATTATGACAGACCACCTCATATACATACGCATAATTGAAATATTAAACATAAACGTGTTTTCTTCCATATAGTAGATAGTATCATAAATGTCAATATGGATAATTATAATGTCAAAATAAAAAAATAACTAACTACTATGATATAATTTTAATAGAATATTATTGTAAGATACTTTATATAAAAATCTCATTTTGTATTTTTAATATTATTTCTAATAATTACATAAGAGAGAGAGAGAGAGAGAGAGAGAGAGAGAGAGAGAGAGAGAGAGATTTTTTCTCTGAAATAAACAAAATTATAACTATGATTATGAAGAGAAAAATACCAATATTTTCAGATAAATATGATTATAAGAAATTTTATGCTAAAAAAGCACATTTGGAAAAAAAGAATATTTTTTTCACGTCATTATTAAATAATTTTATTTTTTTAAATTAAATTAAAGAAAAAGCACAAAGTTAGTTTTATTTTTACATACAGTTATACTTGTCAGTTATCACACTAAATAGAATCTATCCAATAAGTAACTATTATATTCATTTTAAATACAAAAGATTAGTTATATCTTATTCGAATTGATAAAATATCAAATTAAATAATTATGTCACATATTGTATTTTTTAATTATAATAATTATAATAAATTTAAAACTCACTTGGTAAGCATAAGGGCTACGTCTATGAAAATAACCATCATTCATCACAGCATGGCTCTTTCTGCTGCTACACATAGAAGTCATTTTCTGTATTCTTGAACTCTCGTTTATTGCTAATCAAGTTATTTCCACACATTCGTTGTTCTTTAAGATTTAGATTAGCTTTTCTAACATTTCTTGAGATGATGTTGCATCGTGACGATATCGCGCAGAAACTCAAAGGATCGTTCGCATTTTTATTATCACGAAAGATGCTATTATGTCACACATATCAATTGTTAACGCGTTTTCGATTAAGATATTCTTCTGAAATCTTGATGTAAAAGACGATATTCTTGATCATATGAATCAATTCGTAGGCGAAACACACACAGTATTCCTCGCAAAGAAATGTAATTCTCGAAGTCCATAAAAATACTGTCAAAGAAATATAAAGTAAATTGAAATATATTTTTCAAGTTGAAAAATATTCACGCGTTATTCGATTCTGTTCTTTACTCCTCTTGTATTATATACGAAAACAGCCTATAACAAAGTGTTATTAACTGTCAAAATCACATTACGTATATTTTATTTTATTCAAAGAAATCTTACTAACTCAAATATATATCATTTCTTTACTAGAATTCTCGACGAAGTATTAAGGAACGCGTTCCTTCTGAGACCGGTACAAGACGATCTGAGTGAAGACGAGCAGGTAATACAAAGAGAGGTAGAAGCAAGCGTAGCACTACCACATCCTTCCTTCATAACGGTTGACCACTAACTGACGATCTGAGATCTCAAGGTACTGCCGTTCTTCATCTTCATTTCTATTCAGTCGATTCATGTCGCCTCGCAGGTATATTTAACTTATTATGTATTCAGCAATTACGATGAATTTCCATGCCGATTTTTTGTACTTCCATAATAACGATGCTTCATATTTCGGATATCAAATAATACCATAGCGTCGCGATGCCAAGTATAAAAAAATATATCTGGCTTGTCAATAATTGAATTGTTGCCTATGCACAGGGGGCACCAAACGACGCTACTAAGTAGCTTATCCGGAGTAAATTTGGGTCATACGTGCTTTCGATTAAGATATCAGGAACGAAAATCGATAATTAAGAATCTAACGGCATTTTTCTTATGCAAAGTTAACGGTTGCTTTCATAGCGACCAGTTCAAAAGAGATTGATGCAATCAATTCCGAGATGTCATGTAATCTATCGCGCGAAAAATGACGACTTTTCTTGTTGACCTTTTTGTTTTCAGACGCACGCAAAGCGACTTTATCACTTAGATTCTTAAGTTGAGTGTGACATTTGAAGTCATATCATAGTATTTGAAGTCATTTTTAGTCATATTTTAATATTCATAATTATACGTGACAGTTGATCTGTCAATATTTTATCCTAATTATTGGTAGCATAATTTCTTGTGATGCTTATATTATATTTAATGTTATAATAAAGAGAAAAACAGAAAAACTATAATATGATAAAACTATATAATATAATACTAACTAATATAATAATAACTATATAATATAATACTAACTAATATAATAATAACTATATAATAACTAAATGATAAAACTATAATAAGAAATAATTGACATTGAACAATTATGCCATTTTTTGGAATAAAATTAAAATAAAATTAAAATAAAATGTTTGTGATAATTAAAAATAATTATATTAAATATACTATCATTCGAATCGTTTTACAAGAATAATGAGAGTAAGAAGAAGGGATGGGAAAGGAAAGAGAGGGGAGAGGGGGGCAAGAAATTGAACGATGAAATTTTCTGGTGTCGGAAATGCGATTTTCTCCAGTTTCTCACCATTTCGCTCACAACCGTCACGCGAATTCAGAAACGGCCAGCCGGTCGTTTTTCGAAAATCTCTTCTTTTGGCTTACGTCTATTGACATCGGGAAGGACAATGATCGTGTATGAGTCGACCTATAAATCTCGCATTGTCCGGCTGCCGATGTTTAGTCGCCCTGATATTAACCCCACGGTGGAAAGGTCGTGCACTCGGTATTGTTCAATGGCTGACCCTTCTCGTAATAGAATGACCCCGACTACTTATTTATCACGTTTGGTCCACTCGTCGATTTTACGTGAAATACGATAAAATACAAAATTCATAAATTTTCACGCAAATAAATATGCCTCTTTTTCACTCACTGCAACGAATATAAAATTATACAGTGTTATAATATTTGAGTTAAATATGTAATTCCTGTTATGACAATTTCTCAACAGAATAATGCATATCGAGATAATTGATTGATAAAAAGGACAATAATGAGATGTTAGTATCGATTGATTTTTTAAGAAAATAAATCTCATTAATTTTAAAGGAACATTTAGTTTATTCTTTGAGAGAGCACTATTCTATTCATGTATATGATTATTAAATGAGAGATTAATTGCTTGATATGAAACACATATAAAATGAAAGTGAGAAGAAAAAGAAATGAAGAATTTCGAGTTCTCTTTCTATGGGAATTATATAGAACCAGGAGAAAGAGTAAAGAACTGGGAGGGGACAGGTGAAGAAATCGAAAGAAATAGAATTGCATGAGAATTACGGCTAAAACGAAAGTTCGAGAGCCATTCATTTGCACAGGCCCCTGATCATTGAAAAAAATAAGAATGTAGATATAGAAAAAAAGAGAAGAAATCTATTTTAAAGCATGATTTTGAGTTGAGAGTTACTAAACTAAGTAACCGTTTAATAACGTGAAATTATTTCTTTTTTTTATCAAATTGTTTTTCTTCGTTATATTTTGAGAAAATCTGTTATGGAAAAAATACAAATACTACAATCTTTCTCCTTTTTTTATATATTATAAATTCTTTTATGTTGAATAATGAAACAAACAAATAAAAAATATTTTAACAATCTATAACTGTATTCTATTTTAAAACTATTAAAAGATGTAATGTACATAATACATCTTTAAATCGAAGTCGGGAGAAATCAAAGAAATATCAAATATCAAATGATCTATTCTTCTTAAACATAATGAGCTATTTTTAAAATAGTTAAATTCCGCTATAATCTCAATTCCGGGAAGTGATATGGTGAGATTGATCCATGTTAAAAATTGGCGTACGGAAACATGTGCGTTGGGGTGGTTTCAGCAGATGAACTAAGTATGGGTCAACCGAGCACAAGCGTGGGTCAGCTGTCAGCTTGTTTGTCCTTAGAAAAGGCCGCCATTTGTGGATTGCAGCCTGCGTTTTGCTATACACTGGTCAACCAACGATTGGCACCCCCAAATGTCAATGTACTGTCGTCGACTTCTATCCTTTCGATTTCTATGGATTCAGCTGAATTTTTCATCGCAACGGTCGCAAATTCGCAAGTGAGTACTTAATTAGAATCCAACTTCCGTTTTCTTTTTTCTCATTCAGACCAAATCCATATTTTTTTATACCAAATATACTCATTTATACTAATTATATATATTTTTTATTAGTTTGTATTTTTATTTACATGATAAAAACACATTTAATGAATGGAAATTGTATTTATTATTTCTCTTCAATAAAAAAAAATTAAATATATCGCAAGAAATATAAAAATATTATTAAAATGATTATTATTGTTATTCATCTGCGGATGTATCTCGGGTACGTATTGCCACGGGAAAATGTATCTCACGCATATTTATACCTGAATCTGAATGGGGTATCTCTCGTTTGAACAGCTGCCGTTTTACCTCTTTTGCACTCCCACATGAGATTCTAAGTTTTGCAGGGAAATATTTTTCCATACTACATCCTAGAAAAGGCAGTAAAATTTTTTTTAAACACAATTTTTTATACGATATCCGTGATTTGATATACATAATTGGCTGTTAATAAAGTATATTTGAATAAAATACGATAAATGCCGAGTATTCTGAAAACTTTAATACATGTATTTCATAGAAAGAAAATTCTAATTTAGAGAAATCTAATTTACATTATAAAAATTTGACATAAAACCATTACATAATAAATGGAATAAAATTAAAGAAAAATCATACAGTAATATTCTTTCTATGTGGAAAAAGATTGACGCATAATTAATAGACAGATAACAGCAACAGTGACAGTCTGTTAAAAATGACAGAAATATAATAGATTTATGATGTTTAAGCAACAATATGGGAGAGCAACTCTTTGATATTCGCTGAAGATTTGCAGAAGATTCGATGAATAATCACAATCATGTATCGCAAAAGAGGTGGGAGAAAGGAAACAGTATCTGTTAAATCGCCTATAAATCCGAATGACTATTCTGATTGGGCAGACGAACTAGAGAGGGAAAATAACTGCCCCTTCGATAGAATCCAGAAATATGCGCCTATTTCACTTTAGGATTCAGAATGTCGTTGTTACTTCATCCTGACCTTATTTATCGTTCTCTCAGATATTTGTAACTCGCGTTTGTAATCAGTACAAAATATAAGAGTAATAATTATCGCGGCTTTAAAAAAAAGTGCTGAGTGATACGTCGACAGTTCTCTGTGGACACCTTGTGAATAAATACTTCTTAAATATTTCCTGTAAAAGAAGATTCACACAATTGAAGGATGATAAAACTGAAGATTTGAATGCATCAGGTTTGATTAAATAAATGTTTTGAATTACTAAAAACTTAATAAGCTGTCAAGCAAAATTTGAAAATAATATAGTACTTTTTATGAAAGAATATTATAACACTAAGTGGCTTATAGCTATGTCATATTAATATACTATTTAAATATCTCTAAGATTATATATTTAATTCGATTAATAGATATAATTGTGTGGATCGATTGATTAGTTCATTAAGTTATAAATATATATTTTATCGAATATTATGTGTGTTTAAGTTATATTTATATAAAAATCTTTTTAATACATGTGAGAAAAAGAGATAGTATTTCTTTCAAATTCGGAATAACAACTTATAAGAACAAGGATAAGGAATTTTGTTTTCGAGAGAGAAGCTATGATTGTAATATATTTCAAATTTTCTTTTAATTTAAATTTTCTTTAAAATATGTCGTTTCGATTCTTAAACATTATTGTTTGACTAACGTATGTCGAAAACTATTAATTTAAAATAAATTTACAAAAATTCGAAGAAAGAAGTAAACAATTTTTTTTCAATTTTACTACTTTTCAACTTTTCTAAGGATAAGAAATTACTTCATTATATAAAGTTTCATTATATAAAGTTTCACAAAACAATATAATATACATTTTAAGCAATATAAATTAACAAAAAACAAAATATATAATTATATAAATAATTTTTTTTAAATTGTATAATTAATCAATTTAATTTAAAATGATATCTTTGTTTTAATAAGGACGATTAAATCTAACAATTAAATCTAACAATTAAATCTAACAATTTAAATAATGTAAAATATGGGCCATAAAGTCTTGTAATTTTCTTTATTGAAGCAAGAAATAAACTAAAATGAAAGAGTACGTAGCGATTAATCGCCTAATCAATAATGAGAATTATATCGTTTTTATTATTGCAGATACATGAATCCTAACTTCTCTAAAGATTCTCCCAAATAAGCGAAATACAAAACGATTAAAAAACTTATTCTTGCTTCTCATTCGCCTTGCTTTCTCTTTTCTATTTTCTTGTTTTTTCTATTTATCTTTTGTTTTTCTATTTATAAATTTCTTTATATTTACTTATATTGTGTGACAAAAACTATATGAAAATTTATCTCTGTTTCTCCTTCATCAATTAAACATATTAATAAAAGATTGTTGTAAATGTGTGTGCAATAAAATTAAATAAATTTGTAATAATATAATTAATAAAAATTTTTTATTTATTATTACGTAATGAAAATATTTAATATTATAATAGATATATTAAAACGTGTCCTGTTTCATTATAAAAAAGCAATAAGTTTTCAAAATATTGTTACAGATTTTTACGTTAAATTAACAATTAAAACTGATTTCAAGCTAGATTATTATATATTATTATATTATTTAGCAATTTATAAACTCTTCTTTTTCTTCTATATATGCTTCGAATAATTAAAATGAATTATAGTTTACTATTTAACATTAACAACTTATCAATTTTATGTTCGCAAAGATCATGTTACATTTAACTTTTGAATGATTGTATATAATGCGTTATCTCTCTATTCTATACTATAACACATTTGTCAATCAAAATTTTCATTCGTATGTTTTCTATTTATTGTTATGATCTTGATGTATATATCTCTCTTGGAATTTCGAAATACTACGTCGATTTGACCTTTAATAGAAAACAGTATTGTTCATTCGAAATTTGTAGTGCGAGAATAAGAAAATCGTTATCGAGTCAGCAAATGTTTCCATTAAATATTTGAAAGAAGTTTATCACGATTGTTAATGATTATAAATTCACAGAGTTTTCTTTAATGTATTATATAAATATGCCTTTTATATATAAATTTATAACTTTTTTCTTTTTTATATAATTATAGAAAAAATATTTTTCAACAGATGGTGATATTTATAAATGAAATAGAATATTGGATCAATTATTGAACATAAACTTATATGTAAATGTTCCAACTTATATAAAATTCGTAATATTTATTTTATTACTTTTGTAAGAAAAAGTTTAGTTTTCACATTTGAGCTCTATAATTTATTTTTAAATAAAGTAAAAAAATTGAAAAGTTTAACGCTGTTTTGTATAATATTATTACAAATTTTTAATTTTCGAACTTTATGTTTTAAAAACAATAGCGAAATGAAGAGAAACCATACAAGTTTATATACTTGTGTCGAATTAATAACGGGTCAAGGAACAATAACATTCACATTATTCAGAAATCACGTCTAACTAGGGTGATAAAATTGTGGTGAGTAACACCCTTCCTAATTAAACTTGATTTCCAAAATTTTATAATCTTTGTTCATTAAACAAAACTTTTTTTTAAAGATAAATTATGTTAAACATATTCTCACAAAATATTATAAAAACTATATTTGTTAGTCAGAAATATATTCTTAAAAAAAAGATAAGTCTACTAAGTTCCTATATTAAAAAAATAAAAAGAAATAATTTAAAAAATATCTAATTTAATTATTCTAATTTAATTATTCAAATTTTTTTTATAAAATATAATCTTCTACAATTTCTTGGCTAATCACGAATTATATATTTAGACTTAAGATATCTCTATTTTAACATTTACGTTTCTAAAATAGAATGATTTTTTTACAGAAAGAAGAGCTGGAAAAAAATTATAATTATTTTGATTTCGATGTTTTGTTTCATCATAAGACCAACAATTCCAACTAATAAAAAAAGCAAATGATTTTTCATGATGAATTGTAACTTATCACCCATTTCCAAAAACAGCCTGCAACTCGTTTACGAAAATTCCAACTTATCTGAGGAAATTATGCAACATCAAAACATGAACTATCAAGTAGATCAGTCGATGGACATTATGTCAAATATTATGAAGTCCAGTGAGGATATCGATCTTGTGCACAATACCCTGCAATGTCCAACGTGCATTTTTACTACATCAATCAGGTGCATTATCATTAAACTATTTGTATACATATATATTGTATTCTTATATACTTATATCATTCAGTCAAATTTGGTATACATATAATGGTCTTTAAAGAATATACTGATACACATACACATCTGTATACAGTATGCGTATGTATGTGTATATTAAAATATATTCAATTATCAGTTTCAATTTTCTAAATTTATTATCAATTTATTATCTATTTATTATCAATTTTCTAAATTTATTATCAATTTATTATCAATTTCAGGAAAATTCAAAAGAAAATATCTGTTAAATTGCGTGTTTTCAGATCAAAATTTACCGAACATTTAATCAGCCATTGCACATCAAAATGCAACAATCCACATTTTAAAGCTATCCTCGCACAATTGCCAATCTTCTTTCAAGGCAAAAGCAATTGCTCTTTTCCTACATTAGAGGAATATGCCATGCACGCAACAGAGGAGATAGACAAATCTAAACTTCCTCACGTGAATCAAAGCAATATAAAACAGAAACAAAATGCAGATTTCCGAGAAGGTAAAAGTTGCAAACAATGTAACTTCGTAGCGACCACGAAAATGGAATATTGGGAACATATGCGTTGCCACATCAAAGGCTTTACTTGTTCTAAATGCTCTTTCGTTACCAAATATAAACATCATATGAATCACCATTGGCTCAGTGTTCACGACGGCTCCAAGCCGTTCAAGTGCAAAAAGTGTTCCTATACATGCGTAAGCAAGTCAATGCTAACTAGCCATCTAAAAAAACATTCGAATATTTATCCGTACAGATGTGCGAACTGCTCGTACAAAACTAAATTTTGCAATGCGTTAAAAAAGCATCTGCGAAAAAAAGAGCATCAACCAGCGATGGTGTTGAACGCTGATGGCACGCCAAATCCCTTATCTATCATCGATGTCTATGGTACCAAACGCGGGCCCAGACAAAAATCATCCGTTGACAAAGAAGATGAGTTAGATGAGAGCACTGATCAGAGTACGATAATCAACAATAGCCAGCTTAGTTCAGCATCAACTTCCCCAATTTTACCACTTCACTCACCGGTCACTCGTTATTTAACTGTGACGACGATGAATGAAATGAATGATGCAAACAGGATAATCCAGAACAGCATGAAACAAAATCAACCTGCCGTGACGTTTCCTTATAATGATCTTGTTGCTGCATTTAACTTGTCAAACCACCTTTTGCATCGCGAAGATGCGACGTTTCATAAAAATATGCAGGAAATTAATCATCACGTCCACGCGAATACGTTAATGGAGTACGTAAAAATCATGAAAATGTCTGAGGAATATGTCCAGAATTTGCCTACAACTTGTTTAGACGCAAATGATGCAAATAAACCTCATATTTCCGATAATGTAAAGACTGCTAGTAATGAATCCTCGACATTCGTGACGCTAAAAACTCAACTAAAGTCACAAAAAGATGAGTCCACAGATGCACCGTTGGATCTCCGCATCAGCGAAGTAAAAAATCAATTTCAATTCCAATTATTAGCTACAAATTCATCAAAGATCATTGGCACCAATAAACGCAAGGGTAAAGCAATGAAACTCGAACGTCGCGCGATGGAAGAGGACACGAATCCAGAACAGAAGGAAATAGAATCTCTCAAATCTTCGATAATTAGTGAATCCGACATTCGGAGAGAAAATCAAAATATAAAGGATAACAAGGGCAAAACCATTGCTGATTCGATCGAGCACATCTGCCACTATTGCGAGATCACGTTCGGTAACGTTGTCATGTATACCATGCATATGGGTTGTCACGATTTCGATGATCCTTATACGTGCAATATGTGCGGTCACCACTGCACCGATAAACTATCTTTCTTTCTGCATATCGCTCAATCGCAGCATACATAAAAGCGATAAATCGGATTTGTTTGGAATGGAAATCCAAAATCTACGCTGCGAGTAACGCACATGAGAAAAAAAAAGTGAACGAGATAGAAGAGAAAATTTTTAATACAATTCTAGTCAAAAATGATATAATATAGACGATTGATAAGCACTTGCATTTGCTAGAAATATATAATTTTAAAAAAAAGTAGAGAAAATATATGCAGAGTGTTAATAAAAGTTTTAAAATTCTATTACAACAATAATATTTCTGAAGTTAGATTAAATTAAAAAATTCTTCTTTTCTTAGATAAGGAACTTTTGTTAACATTGTGTACATGTATAGTATATATAGTACATATCACACGAGTATATAATACACGTATGTTGTGTCATATTTTTACAATGAATGAGATAAATTCTAATTTTGTATGTATATAGGAAAGACACAGAGAAATTATATCTTTAATTATAGATTTAATATCTTTCGAAAGAATTAAATAGACAAAAATGTTGTGAATTTGACCAATGTAATCTCTTTTTGATTTTTTCTTTTTTATTTTTTTTTTCTTATAACATCTCAATGCTCTTTGTCAGATATATCTATATAATATAAATCCTATTAAATTAAATAATCGAAAAGATCTTTTTCTAATGCAAATTATTTGTACTTTATCTTCTTTATAAGTTAATATATATAAATACTTTCATTAGAAAAATTCCAAATTATTATTGCGAGTATGCAAAAGAGATATTAAATATAAATAATTTGGTACTGCTGATATTGCTTTTCAATAATTGGACTGCTAGCATTTTTCGAGATTTTCTAACTTTTTTGACTTTTCCTTGTATAAATTTAAAAAAATATTCTTCTTGTTATAGTTATTACATGTCACAATATTAAAGAAAAATTTTGATGTATGTGTGACAAAAGTATTATTAGACACTGAGGTTTATTTCTAAAACTTTCACACTTTCCATTATATTTTTGCGATTTATTACTCCTCATTTTTGTTCTGTTTTTTTTTCCTTTAATAATATTTTTTTCATCAAAAACATTTTTTATTTACAACTATATTTTTATATTCAAATTTTCTTATCGATTCTGTTCTCTTATTGATTTAGCATGACATATATTTTGATTCGCGAATTGAAAATATTATGCGAATCAAACTGAAAATTATTTATGGATTTATAGATTTTTTGTGTCAAATCCACTTAATATGGTTCAAAAGTAAAAGATATATTTTTCTTTACTTTAAACTGACTGTCTATTAAATTTGAATTTCCGATTTGGTCATGCTTTTGCAGTTATTTGATATTTTATCAAATTTCTATCGAAAAATTACTCCATAAATAGTTTTCTTATATATATTTGAATATATAACTTTCTTTTTCTTTTTTTTGAAGTATTTATTAATATATAATCTTATACAGTAATAATATAAAATTATTAATATATAATAATATATAATATATAATAATAATGAATAAAAATTGCATGACATGATTGTGATAATCGTACCTTACCTCGCGAACACACATAATTGAATATATAGAGATTATATGTATATCTATGTACAAATAAAAAAATTTATATATAAATGTATATTTTTCGAACATGTAGAACAAAAGTTTATTTTATAATTCTATTAGAAAAATGAATTATGATTAATTAATGTAACTGCTGCGTTAAATATACATAATTTATTTGAAAAGTATTATATTAATTTACAATTTTTTAAATAATTTCTATAAAATAAAGTAGAAAAGTTTATATATATAATATACAGTATCCCCCCAAATTAATTTTTCGCAATCTTGTGCTACTCCTAGTATATTTCTCCTAGTATACTTCTTCACATACTTTATAATATTAATATCATATTGTAGCCCGTATCCGTTTATATGCATTAAAGATTAAAGTTAACAATTGGAAAGTAAAATTTTTTTAAGAATTTTTAAAGAAAGAACTTTTATATCTTTTGTATTGTTTAATCAAATTTTACTTTAAAATTTTTAATTAATATCTGTCTATTGATAATCTCTATTGACAATGATAATAAAAATGTATAGGTTTAAACGTAAAAGAGAAGAGAGCACCCAGATTTTTATATATTATATTACTTGAATTTTAAAAGACTGCCATTTTCACGGACAAAATATAAAGGTAAAATATTAAATTACATACCATATATATATATATATATATATATATATATATATATACAGATATATTTCTATTTTTTTCCATTTTTACTTTCCTTTTTTTATTTTTTATTTACATTTACTATCGCATCTTATCAAAAGAATATCGAATTTGGCAGCAGTCGGTATAATATTTTGTCTGCATGTAAATAGCTGTTCTTACATGACCATAAATGATAAGTTACCAGCAAGAAATATAGATGGATAATGGTTACAGTGGAAAACACTGGATGCCTTGAAACATTTGATATTGACCAATCAGATTAAAGAAATCTTTACTCCTTTGTCCTGATTGGTCAATCAAATGCTTCAAAGAATCCAAAGCGTCTTCCCGACCGCAGCCATTGTCACACAATTGGTTATCAAATAGAGAATTTTAAAGTCCCTAAAACTATTCTATTCGTCAGCCAATCGTGTGATATTATGCTTATGAAGAAAGCTCTCTAGGTAGAACAATTAGTCGATGATGTAATCTGTGGCTTTCAATTTTACATGAAAATTCGTCTTCCTATTCATAAGCATACCAGAATTGCATGATTCCAATCTATATCGAAATTAAACATTGAATATGTAAAAAGAGACGAGAAATATATGTGACGTATACGACGATGATATAAAGAAAAAATTATTCGTAGTGTGTGAGAAAGTGCTTTGTTAAGTCGATCCGCTAATGCAAAGCATAGATTGTGTTGACGGGCGAAATAAATAGACGATCTATATCGGTATTCGCGCATTAGTAAACGACACGTCTGCGAGAGAATGGCGAGTTGACCTATTACGAAGAATGGAATGTTGCATGCAACGGTACGTTTTAACGGTAGGTATGTCCGTGTATATATCTCTGTTAAAATGCATTATTTTTTAATCATACTCCGAATTCTTTGTCTTATCCCTCTATCTGTTTTTAAAACAAGTAATTGAAAAGTACATATATATTAAAGGTTACGTACCCTATTAATCATATCATCTCGTATCTTACAGTCGTTGCGACCAACCTTTTTTCAACCTTTATTACGGTCGAGTCGTAATAACTGTTGTGCACAAATATTGATACACGACAATCACGTGTCTTTATTTCATCGAATCAAATTGACTTTTCTATTTATATCGTAATGATATTCATTATTTGTCGCATTTGATTCGGGAAGTTGGCGTATATTTCCAAGGAGATATAAAGAACAAGACGTCAAAGTGATTAAAAATAATCTAAAATTACAAAAAAATATGTAGCTTGTATCTACAAGTTTGCATAGATTATAATTTTCATCACACAATTAAACAGCAGCTGTAACATTAACATTAGCTGCGATAACATATGCGGCAGTTGCTCTCTTTCTTATAAATATCTTAGATTATTTATTTAAACACAATTTAATAAGATTCTTTTTATATAGTTTTCAGAGTATCAAAATATAAAGTTGAGCCAATTGGTGCTAAATATATTCAAAGTATAAGGTAAGTGATATAAAAAGAATATAATAAATAGAATAAAATAGAATAAAATAGAATTCTCTTTCTCTCTCTCTCTCTCTCTCTCTCTCTCTCTCTCTCTTTAACAGATTAAATTTCATGATATAGATATGAAATTATTTACAATATTACAATCATTGTTCAATTTATTCATTTATCAATATATTAATAAATCTTTTTTTTTAAATTTCTAATCAAAAATAATTATAATGGTTTTTATCATTTGGATTTATTATAAGGTAGCCATTATGGTCCAAAAATTTTTGCTGTATTTATATATACAAATGTATCTACAATTTAATGTTAAATCATTAATGTTAAATCATTATATACAAATGTATCTACAATTTAATGTTAAATCATTAAATTAAATCAAATATCTTGATTAATATTTATATTAATTTAATGAATTTATTAATAATTGTATAAATATATTAATTTAAACTTTTTTTTGTGAAATAACTTCATAATTTTTAGCATCAAAAAATTTTTAAATGCAAGAAAATCATTTGTATATATATATATTTTTTTTCTTTTCAAGATGGCAGATGTCGATCCTGAAACCTTGTTGGAATGGCTCAGTATGGGGCAAGGAGACGAAAGAGACATGCAGTTAATTGCACTAGAACAATTGTGCATGCTGTTACTTATGTCTGATAATGTTGACCGTTGCTTTGAATGGTAAGTAATAAAGTGATTATATGTAAATTATGGTATTGATACATAGGATATTTTATGTTCTACAGTTGTCCTCCACGCACATTTCTCCCAGCGCTTTGCCGAATTTTTCTGGACGAATTAGTGCCAGACAGCGTGTTGGAAGTGACTGCTCGAGCTATTACATATTACTTGGATGTTTCTGCAGAATGTACACGCAGAGTAGTAGCTATGGAAGGCGCAGTAAAGGCTATTTGCAGTCGACTTTCTGGTGCTGGACTCGGCTCTAGAGCCAGTCGGGATTTGGCAGAACAATGTATAAAGGTATAATTGATTTCAAAGTAACATAAAAATAGATTGCGCATAAAATATGATTAGCGATATAATCAAATGTTATTTTCATATTTTCCAGGTATTAGAACTTGTATGCGCGAGAGAAGCGGGCGCTGTATTTGAGGCTGGTGGTCTACCTTGTGCGTTGTGCTTCATTCGAGAGCACGGAGCACGCGTACATCGGGACACATTGCATTCGGCAATGGCAGTCGTTACGCGTCTATGCGGCAAAGTTGAGCCTCAAGATAAAGCTTTACCCGATTGTGTCGAGGCTCTATCGGTATTACTCAGACACGAGGATGCGCACGTTGCAGACGGAGCACTTCGTTGCTTTGCATCATTGGCAGACAGATTCTCCAGAAGGGGAACAGATCCTGCACCATTAGCATCAAATGGATTAGTTTCTGAACTTTTATATCGGTATGTGTGTGATTTTTTATTTACATTAATATTTTTTATTTATATTGATATTTATATTAATGTATTCTATTTTATGCAAATTCTTTTTTAGGTTGTCAAACGCAGCAGGTCCTGGCACATCCACTACGGCG